ATCAATAGGCTTCTTCGTCTCATGACATTAAACACTGTGTATCAATTTAAAGTCAATCGGATATTTTCTTTGGCTTCTAGAGCGTCCACAAGATTTTTGAAAGTGATCAAGGACCATAACTCTGGCAGTAATTATCTGAAATCGCTGAAAATCAATAGGCTTCTTCGTCTTATGACCTTAAACACTGTGTATAAATTTAAAGTAAATCGGATATTAACTTTAGCCTCTAGAGTGTCCACAAGATTTTTTGAAGTGATCAAGGGCCATAACTCTGGCAGTAATTATCAGAAATCGCTGAAAATCAATAGGCTTCTTCGTCTCATGACCTTAAACACTGTGTATAAATTTAAAGTAAATCGGATATTAACTTTAGCCTCTAGAGCGTCCACAAGATTTTTTGAAGTGATCAAGGGCCATAACTCTGGCAGTAATTATCAGAAATCGCTGAAAATCATAGGCTTCTTCGTCTCATGACCTTCAACACTGTGTATAAATTTAAAGTAAATCGGATATTAACTTTAGCCTCTAGAGCGTCCACAAGATTTTTTGAAGTGATCAAGGGCCATAACTCTGGCAGTAATTATCGGAAATCGCTGAAAATCAATAGGCTTCTTCGTCTCATGACCTTAAACACCGTGTATAAATTTAAAGTCAATCGGATATTAACTTTAGCCTCTAGAGCGTCCACAAGCAATTGCGGACGCCGGACGGACCTTCTGATAGTTGCTTCATACTATTCCCCGGTTGTACATGACAAGGAGTAGGGTCGCCTGTCCAACCTCGTGGGTTTTCTCCAGGTCCTCCGGTTTCCTCCCACTGATAAAGACCCCTAAAAGCAAGCAAATTATTGAAATAAAGTTGAACCATGTGTTGGTCCTGAAATGACCTAGTTTGTGTAAGTTGATGTTAAACCTCTCTCTCCCTCTCTGCTTCATACTAGAATAACTAATTAATCAAAGCCTTTGATATTCATAACTTACAGAGTATTATTGGTTGATGTGGACAACACCCTAATGGATTTAAGTAATGATATATACAATTCTCATGAACTTTGTCAAAAAGATGTGTGATGTGTCTGCTCCATTTTCAATAGTTTTATTCAACAAGACTAATATTAAAATTATTCTGTATCTCTACACTTTTGAAGGTATTTATTTCAAGAAAATACCATATCATTATCATTATTGTATCAAACTTTGGAATTTTTAAAATATTATTTTGACCATAAAATTTAATGTTAGTCTTGTTTATATTTTCTGTATTTAGCTACAAAGATAATGATAATATTGTGCCAATAAGTGGACGAATAAACTGAAAATATTCAGATTAGTTATCAAAACTCTGGAGATAATTTGCTAACCTTATTTTGAACCCCTGCTTTGATCTGACATCAATTAAAGATATATTGCTAATTTCATCACTGTATTAGCATCAGTTTCTGATATTCATGTCTCATACTACAACAACCATGGATATATCTCACAATGATTCTAGATGTAAAAAGGCTATTTTCAATTTGATTATTCATGCCTAAGCCCAGACTACAATGCATCTCAGGGCCGGCGGAAGCAATTTTTGATTTGGGGGCTACCATCCTAGGACTTTAGCCGGGGGACCAGGGGCCGCCTAGGCCCCGCAAGGTCCTGGGGATCTAGAATGTCAGAGACGCTTTCTGGCTAATGAAATTACTCAGCAATGAAGTGAAATATTATTTCTTTTCTAAATCCCTTAACATGCAAACACACTTGATGGTGGTTTCCTACTGTTATAGTGTGCAACAAACAATATATTTTTGTTGTGCACTAACAAGTAATTAATTAAAGTTTAAGCCATTAGCTTGCTTTCCAATTGATAATCCCCCTGGTCCAGTTAAACCACGGTTGTTAGCATGTCTTTGTCTGGGTTATAATCCTATCCATTAGAAACGGATTAAATACTTTAGTTTGCACGCTCATCAGATCTATAGTAACCAAAATTAGGATATAAACCCACAAACTCAAGAAGCATAATCATTATTATCTCTTGAAGACATTAAAGACATTATATGTTAACAACCTCTTCTTATTATTAGGTAAACATTGTGAGAACTAGTGACATATAACCCAAGACAAGATAAGAGCACGTTCTCACTACGATACTGAAGTTTGACAAATACATGGATAATAATACCAAGGTTGTGGACACTCAAGGATACACAATTTTTATCAAATTTTAATGAAATTGACAATGTATGTTTATAACTGAAAGATCTCGACATTTTTAGCTTGTGGACCCTCTAGAACTCAAAACTGTTCAAATATATCACCATTACACCATTTTTACTGCCAAGGTTGTAATACCCAGTTTGTTGGCCATCCAGAGTTTCGAATTTTCATCTAATTTTGATATATCCCAAAGGTCTGGGTTCCTTTCGATATTGGCATGTATTGGACAGTAACTTTCTGGATTATGACCCTTGATTGTACGAAATATCACGTTTTTAGCTTGTGGACCCTCTAGAGGTCACCATTTTTATACGCCCACATTGAAATGTGGTCGTATATTGTTGTCACCCGCTCTAGAGGCTAAAGTTAATATCCGATTTACTTTAAATTTATACACAGTGTTTAAGGTCATGAGACGAAGAAGCCTATTGATTTTCAGTGATTTCTGATAATTACTGCCAGAGTTATGGCCCTTGATCCCTTTGAAAAATCTTGTGGACGCTCTAGAGGCTAATGTTAATATCCAATTGACTTTAAATTTATACACAGTGTTTAATGTCATGAGACGAAGAAGCCTATTGATTTTCGGCGATTTCTGATAAGTTCTGCCAGAGTTATGGCCCTTGATCACTTCAAAAAATCTTGTGGACGCTCTAGAGGCTAAAGTTAATATCCAATTTACTTTAAATTTATACACAGTGTTTAAGGTCATGAGACGAAGAAGCCTATTGATTTTCGGCGATTTCTGATAAGTACTGCCAGAGTTATGGCCCTTGATGACTTTGAAAAATCTTCTGACGCTGTAGAGGCTAAAGTTATCATCCGATTGACTTCAGATTGATACACAGAGTTTAAGGTCTTGAGACGAACAAGTATATTGATTTTCAATGAATTTTTATGACTTGAACAACTATGTTAAAAGTTTTCTATACTAAACATTAGCATGGGGCAGAACTTTATAAAAACCAAACAAATTCTAATGGTTTTCTGATAATTACTTAATTAGTTGTTACTCTTTATCATATTTTAATGTATTATAAATGTTTAATTACCGAAAAAAGTAAAAATATGCAACAACTCTTGTTGACTCCCTTGACGATTTAGCTGCTGTGGGCGTATGTTTTGTTGCCTGGCAACCTATCTTTTTATCTTATTTTCAAAACCATTCAAATATATCACTGTTACACCATGGTTGAGTTCAAATTTCCTGAAAATCGGACCGAAACTTAGAGTCAAATGGCCACTCCCCTGTATGCAAATAGTATAAAAGCATGTCAAGAGGTCCGAATTTTTATCCGATTTAGATGAACTTAACTGAGTATCACTAGCTCTTGAATAAGTACAGTTTTGGTGTGTATTGGCCCCCTGCCTTTTACGCAAAATGTGAAATATGAATGAAGTTTGTGGACCTTTCTGAGGCTACAATTTTTGTCCAATTCATGAGATGAAACTTAAACTATGTGTTATGTATCAAAAGTTCTTGGATGAGTTCGACTTTGGTAGGCAACAGACCTCACATTCTAGAGCTATAGCCCTTGCTTTTTATGCAAAATGTGAAATATGTATGAACTTTTAGGCCCTCCAGAGGGGCTACAATTGTTGTCCCATTCTGATGAAACTTAACAAATATGTTAAGGATCAAGATCTTGAATGAGAGGATGCTTCCTATTGATGTTACCTCTTCCTCATACATTTCTTGCAAAATGTGGGCGTATCTTGCATGGCAACCACTTGTTTCAACTGGTCATAACTGATAGCAGTGAATTATTTGATAGACACAGGGAAAGAGTGTGAGAAAAACTCTATCCCATCATTTTTTTTAATTACCTAATCTGTCATAGATACAACTAATCGTGACCCTCGCAACTAGGAGTCTCTTTACCCAGTGATCAGTATAGAGCATAACAGGATTTTCTTCTGAAAGTCTACGTTCTAGAAGTCTGACTTCTATGTTAAAATCAGACCTTGTTGTATCTAACGGCATTATTACTTGCGTTACAATAACCTGGAGAAAAGAGTACTTGGGTGTGGGTGTGAGTTGGTGTGTTGGGGTGTGTGTGGGGTGTGTGTGGGGGGGGGGGCTAAAGCCAACGTAGATAGTGGCAGAGGAGAGCAATGGGAGTGACTGTTGCTCCAACTGAGCACAGTTTTAATCAGTCTTATAATTCAATTTTTATCGCAAGTCCTTTGAAGAAATTTCGTTATTTGATCACCTCCTTGTGTTTTAATTATAATATCAGAATAAATTCAAAATTAGTTGGTGTGTGTCACAGTGCCTTTTTGCGCTTTAGAACCTTACTTGCCCCTGAATGTTGACAAAATCACTGACAACAATGTTTAGTTCCAAATGCTATAACAAATTATGCATTTAATATAAGGGCATACTCGATGACGGTGACTTCCTGCTTTGAACTAAGAACTACAGTACAATCAAGTTACAGTGGCATTTTATTCCTGAAGATAATTGTAATTTATTCGGTCAATACTGGTATTGTACTGTCTACAGGTCTGGCACAGCTCTTAGTTTCCAAGGTCAGGACTTTGATTATTTAATCAGCTATTACTTGGTAGTCTAAAGTAACCAATCAATTAGCGGTAAAAAGAGACTGATAGTGAAAGACAAATCTATTGTCAAACATTTTGATTGTCCAGGCAAGATTGACAAATGTATTGTGTTTCTCTCAGTTCCTACTGGTATCCTAGTTGTTCTTGAACTCAGTTCTAATCTGTCAAATAGTAGACAAACATCAATTAAGTAAAGTAGATTATCATTTCTTTATTTACTTCAGTCTCATGTTGAATCAAATATAAAAAGATGAAAGTTTGTATTTCTTTGATAAAGCATCACAGAGCTAGGATAATTGCACTTTTCTGCACCAACTGGGCTAATGAAGATCAGGATAGTTGCACAGAACTAGGATAATTGTTTCTAAAAGACCATCACAAAGAATTGGATATATTCCTGAAAATATATAAAAGAGACTGCCCCTTTACGAAACTTGCTAATAAATAATTCTAGAGTCTAGTGCAAATTGAGATTTCAAATGTCTTACAAATAACTATAAATAAAACCACATGGGGCATTTGACACAAGCAACAGCCTTTGAAAATCAAACAAATATTATTTTACCTCTCTGCATCCCCAAAAATCTGTTGGTTTCGGGGACAATTATTTTTGATCTTTGACACATGTACTGAAAACTTTAATCTAGCTAACTAGATCAGAGCTCTTTACCCTGATTTGTTTCTGTTTTAATATCACAATCTCCCCCATTCATATCAGCTAATTATGTAATTTTGTTGGTAAATCCTAGAAGTGTAAGCTGTAGTAAGGTCAAGTAATACAACCTTTTTATCATATAAATTAAAAAAAAAAAACAACCTTGAATGTCAATACCAAGCATACCCTGGGGATTTATTAGAAATTAAAAGTGATTTAAGAGGCTTCTGGTCGACAGTATCTGAAAAGTAAACAAGAATTTCATATTTTGAAAGTCTCAATGGCAAACTTGAGACAAGTAATCAATGAAGCCTCCAGTTAAATTCGTGGATATAATGAAAACGATTTTGCTGAAGTGACCTCCAACCTTTTGAGAAATTTAACTGTGGTGGGTCATTTCATTCACACCAATATTTAGATGCAGGGACTTGACGAGAAGCACGTTTACAGAAAAATATGCAGCTTACAGGAACTAATAGATGGTTATTGAATGAAGAGAATCTTGTGGTGCAGACGATAAACATCTGAGTATTATAGGTATAAGGATCGTGCGATGAAAATCAATTTTTATCATATAGACATTTTGGATCCATTTCCCATATTACGTTGATGTCATCAAAAAATGGATATTGACAAAATACATGTTGAAATCATCTTGTGGTGAATTTTTTTCTGGAAGTGAATCCTGGAGCCTCATGTAGTGTTTGACAGGTCAATAAGGCAAGATCAGAAATACCCTCTTATATTACCAGTGTCAGGTCACACAATGTAATGTCCCTTGCACATTAAATTTACTGGGTCAGTCTTTCATAATCAACATCTAACCAATTCCCTTTTTTTTTTCAAATTCCAAAACACGATCTAACCAATTCCTTTTTTTGTTTTAAATTCCAAAACATGATCTCAATGGCAGGTTGTCATTTGTCCTGTACTTGAAAGACGCTGGTTATTGAAATCTTAAAGATACATTCCCACGAAGAAAGTATTTAAACGGTAGAGATTTTCAATAAAAGTATGGCAAATTTGGTATATATGGAAAGTAGAAGCTCCCAATTATACTAGAAAAATACTGGATTCCCTGTAAAACTCTTATGTCAAAGCACAGGACAAAACTGTAGTGGTATTACTAAATGGCAACTGGTCGGCATACTTTTGTTCGAGTGATGTAGAGAGTGTTTGATATGTGTGATCAAATGACTAATGATTGAGAACAATGAGATACTTAAACATACAGCAGGAATAGAAGTTGAAAGAGAATTATCTAAGAGATCACTAACACTGGACAGCTGCATTTACATCTACACCTTTTTAGATCCCATCTGCCAACAGATCTTTTACATGCATTGCTTATTTGTATGAGGGACCTCGTTTGTTTTATTTTTGCCCCATCCAAGCAACTAGACAAACTTTAAAGTTTAAAATTGATCTGATTTCTTTAAAGATTCATTATGTAAACACTAAATGGGCCTATTGCAGGTCTTGATTTATATGACAAGCCCATGATCAACTCTGGATCATCAGATGGCGGAGATTAATCCGAATTAAAATACAGTCGCTGTCTCGAATAACAAGTACAGTTGTTACGATAATAAACAATCTATGCCACATCTTGCCAAAACTTCAAACAGTGATAACTTTGTTCAGAATAAAGTGATTTTAAATTAAATTTTCAATATATTCATTTTGCATTATCTATTTTTGAACTATTATAGGAAGATCGAGCAGCTCTATATCTAAATCTTAAATAATACATCTTTAAGTGTAGGTAGACATATTTATCCATAAATATCACCTTGTAGTACCAGTAAATTATATTAATTAGATAATAACAAATAGAATCCTAAAATAACTAAAGCATCAACCATCTGACTTAAAGAATGGTAAATTTTATCTTTGTGAATTAACGACACATTGGTTGATTATTTTCTCCACATATGTCTGAAGTAAGTTGATAAGGACAGTCTGATACCCTGTTTATTTCTGTAGTTATATAGTAATATAAATGAGTTGATGTTCAATATTAATTTCTTGATTGAGATTTAAATACTGGCTGGCATGAAAATCAATGGCTGTGATAGAAAGTAATCCTGGAAGTGAGGTACGTACGGTACCAAGTATTTTATAACAGGAAACTAGTCGTAATCAATAGGGGAAGATGAAGAGGCCACATTATTGGCTAATGTTTCTATTGGTAAGCGGTGTATACTGTAACTAGTAACATAAGTACTTTATTAGTTGTATTATATAAGTAAACAGAATTACTGGCAACAACAACACAGGATGGCTGATGCGCTTGAAGAAAATATGGTACTTATAATGACATAAAACTAGTGACTGGTATATAAATACTATAGCAGTTAGTACATGTGGTCTCATACCAGAAGTTATACATTAATTATAGCAGTCAAGTAAAACACAAACTTGTATTATTGGATTAGCAGCTAATAGAACACTATGTTGTATGACAAAATCATGCAGCTAGTAAATATTTTTCAGTGTTAATTAAATTATCATGGAAGAAATTCATTAATAGTGTGAGATAAACTGATAATGATTATTATAGAAACTTCTGGAATTAACAAGGAAATTATCTTGGTCAATTGTGATAAAAAGAACTAAAAGAAATCAAAATGAAGAGTGTACAAAGAACATCAGAAAACTTATGATTTATCACAAAAAAAACCTAGAGGAATGTTGTTTACAGTTTTGTATGTTTATGATTCAAATATGTAAGCCATAACCATCTTCCAATGGTTGCGAAAGCTGCGGAATAGACATAAAAAATCAAGTAACTCAAGTGTTTTTTAAGGTAAGATTTCTATTGACTTTAGTACAGATTAAGTGAGATCTTGATGAAGTAAGATGAAAAAGCTTGTCAGATATGGCTGATAAGAAGAGAAGTCATTGATAATCTGAGGTGGCAGCCATCAACATAACAGATTCATCTGAGATTTCATCTCATCACTTTTAAGTAAAAGCAACAGTCTATTAAATTCTTATTATATGGTACTTTGGACTTGAAACAAAATACCTATCTACTATTAAAAGTGTTTTATACATCCTCATAGAAATCTAGTTGTATCTTGTCGTCAGGCCTGTCTGTTTACCATCCACAACATTTTCGTGTCCACAACCTCTACTTGTGAACACACAACTGACCAAATTTGTGACCTGATATTTTTTAAAATGTATTTCACATTAGTCAATTTAGTGAGACCAAGGGCAAGAATCCTATTGAATTTCAACAATTTCTGCCAGTTATTGCTTAAGTTATGGCCTTTATTCAATCCATAATATTTTGTGAATGCTCTAGCTACAGAGAAGTTATCATAATATACTATTCAAAAAAAGTAGGGGATATTTGATTTTTAAGTGTTATTAAAGTCACCTAATGAAACTGACGAAGAAACAAATGACAAAATGAAATGAAGTTCACATTCATCGATTTATTCCAAATGATCGTTAGACTAAGTAAGGCACAGACTGACCATTATAAGGGTAAAATGATACCCGGGGTCAAACAGCAAAGTTACCACAGCATCACAACCAAGTCAGTAAGGGGTAAATCCTCCTCTGTTTGCCAAACAAGCATTGATCCGACGTGGCATACTCCTAATGAGACGTCTAAGGTCATTTTGGTCCAGATTGTCCCATTCCTGTTGCAACGCAGCAGCAAGTTCTTGGACATTGGCAGGAAGTTGTTGACGTTGACGTAACCTCTGTCCAAGCATGTCCCAGACATGCTCGATGGGGGAGAGGTCGGGACTCAGTGCTGGCCAAGGTAATGTGGTGATGTTCTGTTGTTGGAGGTAACCTGTAACGATCCTGGCCCTGTGACATCTTGCGTTGTCATCCTGGAAGATGAAACGGCGGCCATGACGTCGTGCAAACAGCACAACATGGACTGCCAAGATGTTGTCCCGGTAGTACTGGCCTGTAACACGCCCTGCAACAACATGTAAAGCCGTTCTTCCAGCAACAGTGATGCCTCCCCACACCATAACAGAACCACCCCCAAATCGATCATGTCTGATGACGTTAACGTCTTGGAAGCGCTCGTTTCGACGACGCCACACCCTCCTACGTCTGTCCAAAAAATCAACAGTGAACCTTGACTCATCTGAAAACATCACATTGCTCCAGCGTCAATTATCCCAGTGTTGACGATCCCTACACCAACGATGTCTTGCCTGAATGTGATGATCTCTCAAACAAGGGATCACGCGAGGACGTCTGGCGCGAAGGTGACCCCTATGCAGTCGATTCCGAATCGTCTGGCCACTCACTCTCACACCAGTGTCTGTTTGAAGATGAGCGCTGATCTGATTTGCTGTGATGACACGATTTCTCAAGGCCAAGGTACGGATAAATCGATCCTGGGCTTGAGTTGTCGCCCTTGGTCGACCTGAGCGTGGTCTGTCCAGTACAGATTGTGTATCACGGTATCTGGACCATAGCCTGCTTATGACAGACTGAGAAACATTCATCGTCCGCGCCACAACCGCCTGTGTTGTGCTGATCTGTAGCATGCCAAGGGCACGTAACCTTTCATTTTGGGTAAGCCGACGCATATCAAAATTTGTTTTCTGGTCACTAAAACAATTAAACTGATGTTTCCACCCTGGAATTCAATGCCACAATGACTGTAACATTCAAAGTCAGAGTTGTGCAAATCTTGGGTTGGACCCCCATGATGATCCCAAGCATCACATGCATTCCATGCGGTAGCTATTGGTGCGTTTGGGCGTCACATGTAACTGGAAATGTTTCTTCTGTTAGGTTCTATAGTGACTTTTTTCGTAGTCATTTGCATATTTTAGTATTATGCCCCCAAAATCAAATATCCCCTACTTTTTTTGAATAGTATATGATCTGTTTTAAATCTATATGTATAGTTAAAATTAGTGAAACAAAGGACCCATATAGTTAGATATGATAAATGTAGAATCAATGTGAAAGAAAATAAGGATGTTTATTCATGGAAGATATAGTGATCATCTTGGTTTTTTTTCATTGCTATGTAATCAAGTAGACCCACATGCCATCCAGAATGTGACAAAATCATAAAAGGTTTTGCTTGACCTATCTGTGTCTGGACTCCAGACTAAATAACACAATGATAACACGCTGTTCACTTTATTACTTTTAACTTCAAGGTAACAACATAATAGAACAGCAAAATAAAAGCAAGTGAAGTTAGACACGAAGTTGTAAATGTGGATATCTGAAGATTATTTTACAGGCGGATGCTGTTCTGTCAGTAGATCAATCAAACAGGCAGCATCGCATTTATATTAAAACACATAACAACTATCATACAATATCATACAGTTTCATTTATACTAAAACATGATCATATTAAAACATACAATCATTATATATAAAATATCATTCTGAAACATTTATATCAAAACATAAAACCACTATTATACAGTATCATTTATACTAAAACATGTTTATATTAAAACTCACAACCATAATTATCGTACAATAATTAAACATGTCAGTATTAAAACATATAACCATCATCATATAATATCATTTACCAGTATATGTTTTAATATCATTTACCGGTATATTAAAACTTTTTTTTTTAGAAATGGGATTTAGCATCCACGCAACAAAAACTAGATCATTTCGGGAGTAATATGGTATAATTTATATTTCAATTTAGCAGTGGGAACAGGATCCGGAGAAAACCCTTGAGGTTGGACAGGTGACCCTACTCCTTGTCATGTACAAGTGGGGAATCAAAACCACACCACTTAACTAATTGATGACAGAGTTCAGGATGCAACACGCACGCGTCAACCATTCAGCCACCCAAAGCCCCAATATATTAAAACATATAACCATCACTAAAACATGTTTATATTAAAGCATATATCATTATCATGAAATGTTGTGCACATAAAAGATTATTTCGCAGTTGGAATTAAAAGTGTAGGCATAGGAATAAATATTGCCACACATCAGTCTCAAATTCAATGTGTTGACTTTAATGATAAACCAATTCCATTTCATGCAACAAAATGAACCAGATTTCACAAGAAAATGAACTAGATTTTACTAAAAAATGAACCAGAATTTCCAACAAAATGAATCAAATTCCACAAGAAATACACCAGATTCCACAAAAAAAATGAACTAGATTTAACACCAAATGAACTAGATTTCACTACAAAATGTACTAGATTTTACTACAGAATGAACCAGATTTCAGGGTAAAAAACCCTCTCATATAGATGAAATTAGTGGAATAGTTAGCTAAAATAATACAGCAAAATTTATCTCCCCAACACTGCACACTTAACATTAATTATAACCATTTGTTATATAAAATATAATAAAGAAGTGTTAAACCCATTCTGTTTTATTCTTATAGTTTGATTTCAAGATTGGTAATTTGTTTTAAGAAATATCTTCAGCTTCCCTTCATTTGTCTTAAAGGCTACCAAATTCATGGTTTTCATAATAAAGTATGTGATGGTGTACGTGCTTGAATTCCTCTCAACAAGAATATCTTCAAGATGATTCTCATATCACTTTGCTTGAGGGCAGTATTGACAAATTCTCGCAATATCATGAACAACTCTTGAGATAATCAGAATCAGAGCAAACAAGATTAAAAGCTTTTTTCCTTCATCAATTTTGCAAATACTTTTTTTATAGGTTTTTGGATTGGAATCAAAGATGAAAGGGCTTAAAAATGTCAATAAAAAATAAAGTATTTAACTTCCAAAAAACAATAATTCAAACATGAATTTGGCACAGGACAACATCGCAAAAATGACTTCCCCACACCCACTTCTCCTAGATAAGCCAATAACATGTAACCAGTGGAATCAGGTGCACAAGAAAGCTAAAGCATACCTTGCCTTGTGTAAGACACATGTACACTACAACTTGTATACAAGACAAAAGAAATCATGTAAAATATAGCGAGACAAAGGGTAGTTTAAACCCCACTCAACACCAATAGTTCATTCCATGACAATAATACTAAAATATACATTTATTTCAATAATTGGCTTGCTCACTGGAAACATGGCCAGTTGGTGTGTGTATGTCTGTGACTGTGTGGCAGGAATTAAGAAACAGGAGAAAATCCACAAGCAGGATATTGAACCCATCCCCTTAAGATCTACAGGGCACACTTCAGACTACTTAACCACCCAAATCTAAGTAAAAGCAAGAATAATCAACAACAGTAATTTCTAAATCAATATGGTGTTGTCTAATGTTAGACTAAGTGTAATTACCAAACACTACCATTTCTGCATGATTGAGACCCATGAAAACAGTTCTGCACTAATGGTTTAGTGGTAACCATGTAGAGTGGGAAGAAGTCCATTCTTTCTTGTTGTCCCCCCCCCCTCCCCTTCGTCCTCAAATGTACATGTACTACATTTCTAACGGTACAGTTTGTGCACCCTCCACATCACCTTTTGGAAATACTGTACAGATGTAAGTGGTGATCTATTTAACAGATTGGGATCTAAGTTTGTTAATATCATTAATATTCTGAAGTCATAAAATTGCTACATTTTGGTTAAAGATACATCAAGTAAGAGCTAAATCTGCCTAATGCAGATCTTTTGTTTGGCTTCAAATGTTATATAAATCATTAATTAGACATTTATGCACATGCCAAGCCCATAATCAACTCCCTAGAACTTCGGATGTTTTCGATTTTCAACTGATTTAATCATGATTGTCAGTAAATTATTTAATTAAGAAATGGTTAATCAAGACTCTGTTTATTATCGTAACAACAGTAGCAATAACAAGCGAGACTAAATTGTTCTTCACGTGGCCTTAACTCCGTTCATAATGAAGTAATTTTCAACATATTCCCTTTTCATTATCTATTTTTTTTAACTATTATAGCAAGAACTGTCAGCTCTTTATTTAAATCTTACATAATACATCTTTAAATACAACATTTTTATACAAAAACATACCTGATAAATTGATACAATGCAAAAAATATATACCGGTATATATATGTTAGATACAAAACTTCAGACTGCAATCTATGATAATAGAAATACTAAAAAACCTGACAAATTCGCAGTGTTTTGACCAACCTATAATCACATGATAGATATGTCTATTGGATGTTATAGTATGATATATTGACATCAGCAAGTAAATACAGGTATCTTATAGATCATGCTACATAATCTTTAATTCCCTAGACAAATCTTTTAGTCAGCATCGGATATTATGTTTATTCTGGAATGGGGGAGTGGATTGAGTAGGTCAAAATAAATCAATTTGTCCATCATATATAAAATAATATTAAAAAAAACCCAAAAAACCTCCACAAATCGAAAAGAGTGGTTGCAGATAGATTTCTGTGACTGAAACAAGTTAATTTTGTGTTAAAGACAGTTGAAAACCTTTGAAATAGTACTGTACAACTATCTGAATCTCCATGGTTCTTATCTCAGAAATACAAACTTTCACATGGTGATTAAGTCGCCAAATTGCATGCTATCCACAAGTGATCGGTTGGCCATGTCTACATACTTGTCTATAATATAGTGGTAAAAGTTTATTGTGAACCATGGAATTCATTAGATAATCATGTTAAATAAATCTAGCAATCATTTCCGAATGGCACAATATCTTACGCTGAACCTATTAACAAGCTACAGAACTTCTTCAAATTCAAGAAATAAAGCAGCTGAAGAACAAAATTCCATTACAATGATTTTCAGAATGTCAGAAATTTTGTAAAAAAAAAAAAATCTACTAGTCCTGGTACAAAAGAAACACATGTGTTCTGAAATATACATAAAAACAATTTACAGGTACTCCTATATAAACTTAATTATTTAATTAGCCACAGGTAGCAGCACACTTCAATTAAATAATTTTATGTTAATTTAATGGATGCATAGTTTGTTTTACCTCCCTTTCTTCAAGTCTGTCAGATAATTGAATAAATAGCAAAGCAATATGTTAGGTACAGTTTGAAAACAATACATACCAGTATCAATGGTAAATCTATTATCATATTTGTATTCGGTGCCAAAACTATGAGTTAATTTGACTTGCTCTTTCTGATAGGTTGGATTGGTCTGTTCTCTGCATGTGACTGGCTAAACTGGTAATTTGTTTTTGAAGTTAAAATGTGAAAGCTAATAGTTTATTCCATGCGTATGAGGATATCAGATACCCATATCAGTAATTGTGATACGACTCTTAAAACCCAAATCAATGGAAGAATATTTTTAAGCATTTTGAAGGTTTGTGATCTTTGGCGCCATGGCATTTCATTTGGAAATGGTTTCATCAGTAAACATGTTGAAAGTGGTAGAAGATAAGAATCTACAGGTATACGACTCAGTGTAACTATAAATATTGAATGTGAAACACACAAACATAGCAGACAGAATGCAGAAATCTCTACCATAGGATGGTGAAACGCTTTGGATAAACAATGTATATTTGCTTGTAAATTTGGCATTTAGAAGGTGCTGAAGTGAGTTTTCAGAAACAGCAATGTTATCAAGCAGTCTTCATTCTTCAAGTTCTTTGACAATAAACCTTTCTGACTATTTTAAGAACTATTTTATCAACAAACCAAATCGCTAGAGATTAGGTCAAGTCGACTAAAAGTATATATACTTGGTGTCTGATATGTTACAAATATCAGTAATTCTGCTATTCATTTTCTGGAACCAACCATGTAGGAAAGATGTTTTTTGTGTTAAATAGGGACATGCATCATGTTAAATACAGTGCATGCTTACTCCATCTGGAAGATCTGATACCACTGCTTATTTGACACATGCAATTTAATACCATGTATGTATAGCAGCATTTGTCACAGAAACTTAATAAAGCTTTCTGATGCTAGAATTGATACAAATCAAATCACCGATATAAATCAAATAACTGACATAATTTTTCTTAATACTTGTAAATTGTAATAGTCAGACAACATGCTATAAACGCCCACAATCATAATGATATGAAAACAAAATTCACTTTGAATACTTGTACTGTACTATGTAAGCCTTCCTTGGTTATTAGATTACGAGAATTTTTTACCATTATTGTACTCGACTTGAGACATGTGAATGCATGAATTAGCTTCATATATGTGAGCTGATATTGGAAAATAATTTTATGACATTGTTTGGTTGGTAGGTTGACTGGTAACAGATGGTTCAACCATTCATGCACATACATTTACACAGAAGATAAAAAGAATGGATAATACTCACACAAAATTAAGCTAAATGACTTCTTATTTCAGACGCTGATACACACACAGAACGATTCAATTTTGTATTGAATGTTACAAGTTAGCCAACCATTTTTTTTGTTGATATGTTTTCTCGCTGTACAAAGAAGATTTCTACCTTTAATTAATATATTGTGTTGTCATATTTTATCAACTTCTTAACATATCTTTTTTTTAATTTTTTAGATTTGTAAGAGATTGTGTTTAGTCCAAAGTATTCAAGATGGCTTCCTTCCATAAGAGACCAGATGGGATTGAACTGTATGGAAAACGGTGTTTACACCATTTACAATATCAAAAACAAATATATGACCACTGATGAGTATGGTCAAATTAATATCAGCCAATTACAGAATAAATCATCGTGGCAAAATCAAACAGCAATGGCTCCAGTTCAACAATCCACTAGCAGTCAAGAGGCATACTACCTCTTCTTTGTGGGTGCCCTAGGCATGTTCTTCAACCTGGTAGTGGTTTTATGCATCTGTGTTCGCAGGAATATGAGACGAATGACGAGTGCTTTCCTTATTCATGCTTCGATACTAAATTTTTTGAAAGCTGGTTTTTGTATTCCGTTTGGACTGAATTTAATAGCGGGTGAAGAAATATCATCGTGTACTGTGCAGGGCGCGTCTTATATAGTGATAATAACTGCCTCTGCGTTCAATCTTGTGGCCATGATTTGTACGGAGGCATACACGTTTGGAGAAACAAATATTGGAGGTAGATCTAAAGGAACTATTTGTTGTGTGGCGTTCGGAATATTATTAGTGTATGTGGCCAGTACTATCCTCCATCTTGGACCAACCTTAATTGGAGGATATTTCATTTTTGAACCAAACATAGGAAGTTGCACGTTTGAATATGGAAAAATCAGTGGATATATCGCTCATGTGATGTGGATTATAATTATAACTTTAGCATACATAGCAATAATTCATTTCTTACATAGATTATATAAGGAAATTCAGTCAAACCAACCTAATCGAGTCTCCATGTTAGTACGAAATTCCATCACAATCATGGATGACCAAAAATATTCACAAAGTAATATTCGACATATGGTGCGGGATTCTTTTCATCGGGCCAAAATATTTATAATGATATCTGTGGCTTTTGCAGTTTGTTGGTATCCACTGTTCGTATTAATAATTATTGATGTTCATTTTATGGTATCGCCAAAAGTTTACCAAGCATTTAGTTTTATAGCATGGACACAGGGTACAATCGAGCCACTGTTGTACATCTGTTTTGATAGGAATTTAAAATTACTGGCTCAATATATTTACTGTGACCGACATCGCCAATATGATATGGAAACTCTAGCCTATCTTATGTCGAGACATCGGCAAGCATCGCAACAGAATTGTTCTTCCAATCAGGAACAGTCTCAACAAAGTATCTGTCGACACTGTCATAGTGAAAAAGACGGTGCTGCTAGTTCCATTCGCTCGACTAGTCCAAACTCCACCGTTACCAATGAAGAGAGAGAAGAAACACATCATCATCACCAAACGCAGACTGTTCCACAAGAAGTGCAATGTTGACATACACTGTTATAACGTGAATGATGATTGGATGCAATTCAAAAGTGCAGTGTCGACATATATTTGCTGTTATAACAGAATGGATGATTGGATGGTGTCTCGAGCAGTGTTGACATGCTGTTGTAACAGAATGGTTGATTGGATAGAACTGTGCAGTGTTTAAATGCGCTATTTTAGTGGAAAGATGACTGTATAGGGTTGTGCAGCGCTGATACCTGCTTTTATAATGAAACGGATGATAGGATGGAATTTTGCACTGGATATAGTGTTGTTTAAAACAGATCTTGATCAATGAAATTTGATGATCGCAGAAAATGGGTTGAAGATCGTTTAATTGAAGATGCAGTTAGTTCATAATTCAGTTAGACAATTCTTTTTAATGATCTAATGAAAACATCCAGATCTTTCGTTGCGGAACAGCAAAATTATTCCTGGGAATAATTCTTGTTCTGTTGGGGAGACATTCACATGTTTTTCTTTTGATTTGGAATAGCAGAAATGGCTTATCTTAATGATTGTTTAGTTTTGAAGAAACTTGGAACATGATAAAAGGAATGATATAACAAGATCCTAGTTCATAGTCTACCGAGGTAACAGATGTGATAATCTATTCTTTCAAGTTGATAAATTAATGGATAAATATAACAGGAAGAGATTATGATTGTTATGTCTGCCGATGAAACCAGATGTTCACAAGCGTTTTAACACATCTGATTATATTTTTAAAAAAAACTTGTTCACAGGTATGAGAATGGTGCTTGCTTCTTTAATAATTGGCCTTGCTTCATCATTGCTTGGGGTGTTCTGACATTAACATTGTGTTTTAAACAACTCATTACTTGTATAATGGACAAAAAATGTGTTCAGAAATTTATTATAGAACCAGAACACACGTTTTGTGTACATCATCACCAAAGGGATATGATTCTAAAATGTGTAATTGTGCAAATGAAGAAAAGGATATGTTTGCAAACTTGGTACATTCATTTTGAATTGCTACATTTATATTATTAATTGTACATATTTTGTGTATAGATATATATTATGTTCTTTTTACTCACAAGCGCACAAGGAACATTACTTTTTTTTTTTTTACATAATATAAAACTGCATACACGCAAAAAATGTAAATGTGTAAATGAATTCCATACACAAGTAAGAGCATTTCTCAGGAATTCATAAAGAACAACAATAATGTCTATTATTCAAATTAAACCTATTTCTGTAATCAACAGCCAGTGTGATACCCATTTATTTAAATTATACAATATCATTTTTCATAGGTTTATGACTTTATTTAACCAACTTACTTATAAAATGTTTCTTCTTGTGATTGTATATTTGTCTCTTTTAACACAACCTCAACTTTTTAGTTTTATCCCCTTTTCCATTACACATCTTTGTTTTATCCATGAGTTGTTTATTTAATTTGGGCTGAATACTTTTATACAGATAAATGTTAGCAACCAAAATTTTTCAAACTGCCGGTCCACAGACTTTTCTGCAGGTCAATTGATAAAGCTACCTGTCCATAAGCATGGGAATATTTATCTCTCTTTCAAAATTTCAAAATCTTCTATTTTTTATTTCCCGTTGCTGGTAATTTAATATAGCTATATAATTTTAGTTTTATAGTATTTCAATTAAAGATTAATACGCAAAATACTATATAAATAAATAATAATTTTCATATGTCCTATTTTCACCAGTCTCCAGGTAAAAAAAGGTTGAAAACCACTGATCAAAGAGTATTATATCTGATGGAATTTCCCTGGGCCCTTTCTTTGGTTCATTTTTGTCAGTCAATGTTTGACAAATCCAGAGAAATCTACCTGTCAGTCAATTGCCAAGAAGTTCAAGTATTTATATCAATTAAACTTAAATTACTTAAGAATGCAAATCCTACAACTGAATTGAAGTCTTTTCCTGATATAAGCATTCAGGTTCAGGTTTGTACCAAATCTCAAAGCATTTGGCTGACAAAATTACAATGAGCCCTAGGTTTAATTGTTAATAAATATCGTGAGTTTTGTCTATCTCTTTGGTTTCTGAAATCCAGATCCAAAATATTGCTCCAGGTAGCAGTATGTAGCAACAATTATCATGGTTGAGGCAGTATATGCTTACTCCATCTAGCACACCTGATACCACTTCTCAGTTGCTGAGTTCGCATAGCTGACAATTTTATCTTGGTCTCTTATAATGTTTTAGTATCATTTTATGTTTTCTTTGATCAAATAAGGGGGGGGGGGGGTGTAGGTGGCCGAATGGTCAAAAGTACGTGCTTTAGATTATAAGGTCTGTCATTGAGTCAAGTGGTGTGGTTTCGAGTCCACACTTGTATATGACAAGGAGAAGGGTCGCCTGTCCAACCTTGTGGATTTTCTCTGGGTCCTCTGGGTCACTCCTATGGCTAAAAGACCCCTACGTGCATACAATCTATTGAAATAAAATTGAAACCTGTGTTAATCCCAAAATGACCTAGTTTGTGTTGAGTGGTTGTTGTTAAACTCCATTTCTCTCAATCTTTTGACCAAATAAAATTCAAATTTCAGCGATTTGCTTTAATCAACACATGACATGCATACCAATTTTCCTTCAAATATTAATAAACTTTTATTTCCATTCAGATTACTTAATCAAAATAAAATTTAATGGAAAGTTTAAGTTAGCGTGTGAAATAATGCTATAAAGAGAAGACGTGAAAAAAACTAGGGAATACAAATATTGATTTCAAGAATCAATAAGCCACGTACATCATTATTGCTCGACAGACCAATAAACCGACATGAAATTTTGAGGGAAAAAATCAGCTAAACAGTCACTTACTAAATGAGCAAACATAAAGTAATTTATAATTCATTGAGTTCCAGTTCCCAGTTATCAAAAGATCGACAAGAAATATTTCTTTAAAGATATGGTAAGCCAGTAAGACAAAGAAATTGTTTTCATGTAAATCAAATGTCAGTATTCAGGCGTAATTAGGCAAAGGATATACGTCTCCCATTACCATTCAATATCCTGATGAAGGTACACTCCCAAAGTTAAACTGAGCCAGACAAAACAAACTATGATTAACTTCACTGACAAAGACTTGGTTTTTACCATTAACCACTAAAAAGCGAAGTCAACAGTCGAATAAAAAAAGGTCCAAGATTTTTAAGATACTAGAAAAATAAACTGATTATTGACACCAAATTTTAAGTGTGTTTTCCTATTTACCGATGTGAATAATAATATTAGTCAAGAGAAAGACGATCGTGCAATCATTACTGTTATTTAGACGTGGATATTGGTGGTTTCATTTGATAAAATAAAATAGCTTGGAGATAATTTGAATGGTAATGGGATTTTTCATCTGACTTTTCAGCTTGACAACACTATTAGAAAGAAATGTTTCATTAACTCGGCTAATGAATATCTAGTATTTTTCCAATTCCAAGTATTTCTTTCATTCAGTGAATAAGAATTTACCTCTGTGATTCAACTTTTAAAGGAGGGATATGATTAAATAAGTTATAATAAATTGAGTAGAAGTACATATTTCATAAATATAAGTTATGAGAAAGTTGCAATTTAACTTTCATATTATTATTTTTACTGCAATTCTAAGTTGAGTCAGTAAGTAATTCAAGAATCATCCCCAAATTATATGCAACATTTTTTCATGGAATGTGCAATTTTAGGAACAAATTCTTATATGAAATTCAAATTATGCCAGAATAATCAGTTTGGATTTAATGGGTAATTATGCACATATATTAATGAAAAATCCAAAAACTTTCATACACACACACCTACACCTATAGAAATGTGATATTTTTTTATGGAGGGTAAAATTTTGAGAGCTAATTCTTATGTAGATTACAAATTATGCAATAAATCCAGAACATGAGAACAATCATCTTTGATTTAATAGAGATTTATGCACAAATGTTAATGAAAAAAAAAAAAAAAAAATACATCAATTTTCAGAAATGTGATTTTTTGGGGGTAAAACAATTCAACATATATTGTTTATTCATTTTGTGTAATTTAGACAATTCAAGTATTAACACCTATATTTATTCTGCTTTTCAACAGCTGTTTCCAACCGATTTTATTTGAACAGTGGCCAATCAATTGCCATTTCAATGTCCGATACAAACTAGCTGTAGGCCTTCGAGCGAAGTTCTTCTCTACTTGTTTTATAGAAAGAATTCTATATGACTGGGTAACATCTCTGTTTCTGTGTCTTAACAATTCTTAAAATCTTGAAGCAAACAAAACAGACATGATTCCCGCTTTTAACGATATTTCTGGATACGACTACAAGCCATAAGAAGCGTAAAACTGACATTGTGTAAAGAAAGATCAAGTTGAAGTTATATCGATAGAAATTCAGGCCATCTTTGGCAAATCTGTCACTTGAGTATGCTTAAAACCAACCGATTGAAGTTTGTGGCTTTTTTTTTTGTAGAGTAAGGAATGTTAAAAAGAAAGAAATATTCAGTGTAAAAATAGTCCTTTAAATTCAGTTTCCAATTTAATTCATGGAGATAAATTATTCTCCAAGCGATAATAATGTTTGATGAAATAAACAATGATTTTTGGAGAAAAAGTAAAATCAATCATTATCTTTATAAAAAGGGATTTTTTTATAGTAAAAGTCAAAATATGAAAAAGTATCAGTTTTCAATTGAATGAAGATAAATTATTTTTTCCAACTAGAAATATTGCTTAATGAACAGAACACACCTTTTTGACAAAAACTAACTCATTGTCATCTGAAATTTTTCTATAATATTTAAAATGCAATGTGAAAATATGAAAATGCAAAATATTCAATCAAAACTGATTGTATACATGAAAGGTAGATTTTCATATTGATAATAAATATAATGTAAGTAATGAAAGTAGCTAGACTTTTTGATGGTTCAATTATGTTTAGCCACTTGAAGGTGTGACATGTCATCCATTCTATATTTAAATTTAGGTTGACATCAAAACATAACATGCATGGAATAAAGTGTGTAATGCATAGGTGACTGACCTTTAAGGTCACAGTCAAAATAGTTCTATGCGTGACATTACATCGATAACACCTGCATTATTTACATCAGACATAGTAATACAAACTGGTCCAGGCAGAATTGGCGCCTTTTACTCATTTATACTAAATATTTTTTATATACTTCAAACACCTTTATTTTTTTTCCAACTAATTCGAAACATTGTTTTAGAATTTAATTTGCAGAAGAAACAAGAGATAATATGAGGGCTAATATCATCCCTATCAGTGATATTGGCAGCCAAGCAAATACTTACTGCTGATCAGTTTGTCTTGGATGTGAATAGCTGACCAAAGTGTCATTAATTTGTCAGATGAATGCAAAATGTGCTCCTAAACAAATCCTGATATAAAGACAAACTGTAAATGATTATGTGCGGAAATAAGTCTTAAAGTTCTAGCATGTGGACGGCCAGCATTTAAAAAAATGGAATTTTCAAAATTACAACACAAGATCTTCAACTTCCTCCATACAGATCATGATATTTAGAATTTTGATAAGACTACATAATCCGTTAGTTTAATTTAGCAGATTGTTTAAGCAAATTCCTTCTCTTGGCTAATTAACCTCATTTTAAAGATGCATAATGCCATTGATTTCTTAGCGTGCTTTTTATTAATATTATTACCAGAAAACCCAGAGTAATTAGTTTTTAGCATTGTGCATGTACCCCCGCCCGCTTAAATAAAATTGGAAACAGTCCACGTAGTCGTAATAATTCATGTATAACTTTTGTATAAATAATTTGGAAATTTTTAAATCGATCATTAAATTATGTTTAACAAGTAAAAACATCTTGCACCATAATCTTATTATGATTTATAAAGCGGGAGGGTAACATATGTTTTCACCAGTGCATTAGTGTATTAATCACATTTATAAGAGAGAGTGTATGTATACATGTAGATAGAATATGTATAAAATGTTTTATATTAAACTTATATATATATATAAGATATCTCCAGCTGGTTTGGGATAAACGACAAGCTTTAATTCTTTATACTGCATTGATTTTTTGTTTGTAACTGTATGCAAAAAACTCTTCATTCTTATCATTTTTCTGTAACATTTTTTTTTTGTCCACATTTTTTTTTTTTTGTACACATGAATAGGTCAGATGTCACTTTAAGACCATAAACACACTAAAGAATATTTGTCACAGATTGCAGAATTTCTCAGCCCTTCGGCAAAAAAGATATTACTGTCGATGAAAATTTTCCATTACCTCAATATCTACATAGCGATGTTTATTTAAGTGTTCACCCATAGTATGACTATGGTCTCATTGGCCTCCCATAGCCCTAAACAATTACCGTAATCCTAATTCTTAAATAGCCCTTCCTACTGCAACAGTTTTGTCGGGGTGATCTTTAAGCAGTGATGCAAATATAGAGAGCAATCTGTTGGAAAGTATAATTGGTGCACACCTATGATAATTTGCCACCAAGAAAATTAACAGCTAATAAAACGTGTATTATTATCAGTATCCGAAGATGATTACTCATAATTTATTCCAACTGCAGACCACTTTTGGCCAATATTTTGTTTTTACTAGATCAAATTGAACGTCATACTCAAAATTATTAGCTTATAAAATAACGCATTTAGGAGTCAAAGGGCACAGCACCTTCTAAAATAGATAAATTTGTACTATTTTCTTAATGACAAATGATAATATTTTAAAGTTAAAACATCCAGTCATTCTGTATTCAATTTCATTCTCCTTATAAACTGACACTAAAATTGGTCATTTCAAATTTCATTAAAGCTATTGTTATTTGAATTTCTTGACAATATCTATTAAAATCCATGCTAAAATATACTGATACCGTCTGCAGGGGATGCTGAATATTGCGAAATTTTCAATTCATCATATCTTTGTAATTGTACTTTCTGGACTGATATTCCCTTTAGAGATTCCACTTTCACAGAATTGTTTGTAAGGTAAGGTATTCAAAATCCCCCAAATGATATCAACAGCTTTAATTTTTCTGAATTAATAAGCCTAAAACTTGAAAGGTACTTGCAATGTTTAGATATTACAATTTTACAAACCAGCGTGTCTGACATAAACTTAATCATTTTTCTTTTTCAATAAATGAAATTCACAAATTGTATTAAATTGTGTAATATTTTATTTTTTAACTTGTAAGAGATTTGTTTTCATTTCTTGCTTTGCATTTTATAATTTTTTCAAAACATTTTGTGTTGTAGGCCAAACTTGAATATTGATTCATTTTTATCTATATGTTTTAAAGTGCGTGTACTTGTTTGTTTATGAATTTTATGATTGCATTTTTTTATTTTGTATTTTGTTGTTTTCACTGACTGATCTGACATATGTTGCTATATCGTTGTTTCTTCCCCCATGACAAACAAAAAAAACCCAGTCAGATGTCACATTCTATGTACATTTTAGGTTCAACTTTTGCATTTGTTTTTTAGCGTACTTACCAAATAACATGTGGGAAATCCCTTGGAAGTCCAAGCGTGTGCTGTAAGGATTTTAAATGTTGTTTAAAAATGGATTTATTTGTATGATGAAAACGTGCCATATAAAATATTCTATATAAGTCTTATTATGTATGTCAATTTTTTTCGTACATAAAAATTTAGAAACATATGGTAACTACATTATGTAAGATTATTATTTAACAATGGGCTTAAAAAATATCTGAACAACTTTTAAAACCTGCCTGGCATTCTCCAGCGGCTTTTCTGGTAGACGCATTTTTTAAAAGTAAGCTTGGGAGAATAAAAGCTGATCCCAGATACAAGTTTACATACAAACGATGTTTACAATTGTACATTGTTCAAGTGTCAATACACAATAATAAACAGATATAATTTTATAATAAAAAATCTCTCTTTTAAATTTTACTGTCTTTTATGTTTCATTTCACTGAAGGATTTATAAAGTACCAATTAGTATTTAAAACTTTATATCTTTGCTAAATCTAATTTAAGGGTAATATAAGGGTCCCTGTTGGACATTTATGAGAATAACAGTTAAATCTGTAAACATACTTAAGAGGTACACTTGTTATTTTTTTCCATTGTTTTCTTTTATGAAGTAAAACTAGATTACATAAGTGCCTAAGTAATTTAAGTGCATTAAGTTATTTGAATTTATTGACACACTAAATGAAGTGTAGATTTTTCAGTAGTGCATTTAAAATGTTAGCCAAACATCAGTTGGGGGAAAAATGGGGTATGTTATCCTTATAACAGACTGAGCAAAGATATCAAGTTTGAAAGACCCCCCAAAAATATGGATATATCTTGTTATATGTTTCTTCGTTTAACGGAAACTTGGTGGCTCATTGATAAATAATTGAACCTAAATCAACAAATACAACTTTGCTGATAAATGCCCTTATTCACAAGACAAGATGGAATAATCCTGTTAATTCTGCTTGCCTTGAATGAAAGAATTTTGAATTATAGGAACTGATGATGATGGTATATATTCATCAAATCTAATTATTTTGCGTTTTTTTTTGTTGTTTTTTTTACAAATGATAGATAGCTGATCCTCGATCCTCCATCATAAAAAACATAGAAATCCAAAGTAATTAGTTATGTCCTGACAAACACATACAAGATACAAGAGTCATGATATGTTAATTAATTTGAGTGAGATGATCATGACCAGAATTTGAACAGCAAAATAAAAAATGAATTCTAGTTTAACATCCTACTTTGCTGCACCAATCAGGTTAATCATGTTTTTGAAACAGATCAAAGAAGTCTAGTCATTATAACGATCTGGGGAGCCATAGTGGCTCAGTGAGTAACGCACTGTCTCGCTAACCAGGAGGTTTGGGGTTGGATCCTGGTGTTGGCCTAGAAAGTTCTCTGGGATTTTCCAGTGTGGTTTCCCCTTGTCAGCTTCTAGTCGTTTTGATGGGACGAAAAACTGAGGTCCTGTGTGCACGTAAAAGAACCCTTGACAGTTGGAAATCGATATAAGAGTAGGATTTAGTGCCTCTGTCCTGGAAAAATTTCCCTAATAGCACACTGTATTAGCCCAGTGAGCAGAACAGTAGGACATTTAACCTCATTTCTTATCATTTCATTTTAACGATTCATCCTAATCTGATCATGGTCCTTTAATGATTACATTAACTGTAACTATGTTCTTTTGTATGGGTAGAACTATGGAATGAAGTTATGTTAGTAATCAAGTATTACCTGTAATACTAGATTCCATGTTTTTCTACAATGTTTCCTTTATGTTCAACTTTATTTTCTTATTAGTCTGTCAATGAGTGAAGTGACATTTGATGTGTCATGACATTTTTAGAAAAATATGGATCTTAATGATTATGTCAATCAAGATGTCAGCAATGTAAATCATTAATCTCTTGATTTCGACCTGTGTTTCAGTTCTGAAATTACATGCTAACAACTAGTCATTCTGTTTGTTGTTTTTCTAATTTACTACTCATTACCTGTAAACTGGTTTCAAATGAGCTTCTTTTATTTTCAATTCCAGTTTTGTTATTGTTTTATTGCTATTTTACACTTTAAAGGAGTCTAAAGCTCTCTATGTTTATTTTTTTTATAATCTAAACATGCCCCTTCCTACACCGCCAACTAACAATACCCCCACCCCCTCAATCCCAGATAGACATTATTGAACAGTAATGTCTTGAGAATCATACATATATATATCTTCCACTACATGTTCCTTTTAATTTCTTGCAACAATATCAAATCTATAAATGGGCATGGTCTGTTTCTGTCTAGTTGGTGTTCATGTGTGACCTATCTTTGTTTTTCAGGTAAAATTGTGTTCTTTTATTATTGTGTGTAAACCAGATGACCTTCAAAAAACAACAAACAATAATATCAATGTTAAATTTCAATTCCAGTTTCAGGAAACGATACTCAATATTTCCCTTGGCATACTTAACCGTTGTTTTTTTAATCAATATCGTACAGGTTTTTACGACGTTGATGCAAATACGAGAAATCATGAACAATTTATAACACTTGCCACGACTCTTAAATCTTCCTCTGTGAATAGCACACACATAAAAACACACATCATTCGTATTCATACTCAGCTCGCATATCACTCTAACATGACAAAGAGGCAGAATCGAAATACAAATAAATCACATAAGCAAGAAAACACACTGACGTAATTCTTAAAGAAAAACAAAATGAACATCATGTAACAAGAAACTACTTGTACAGGGTTTAATGTCCTAGATAATTTTCTGCACCAACCCAGATAATGAAGATGGATAAATGATAAGGGTTAATTAATGAGATCTTGTCAACTCTGTTTGACTTATTTCTTTTGTTTTATTGGTGAATATGTGCATTCCAAAATCTACTCAAGCAATGACCCATCGCCATGATAATCAAGATACTTTGGCATTTGGGTGAAGGTTGTAGAATTATTGTTCTCAAATTTTTAAGATATGGAAGCCGTTAGTGATGTGATTGATGAGCTGCATTCAGATAAATTTCACAAAACAAGAAAATTTTGGCTGATTTGATTGTGGTATCAGACATATTTTGTAATACTTTGTGCCAATAATCACGTAATTATTCAAGCTCCCCTAAGCTAAAGATAAAGGAACCCAGCATGGCATTACCTTGCTCACACACAAATATTCACATTCAAATGGCTCTTAGAGTCTATTCAAAAAGATTTTTAGGTATTCATTATTCAATGTCAATTATAACTAATGGAATCTGGTCAGTTTTCTGTGATACGTAATGTTTAGTACTATAAATCAATGCTATCATTAATATTCAAAAATATATCGATTTGACATACATAATTTCCAGAAATCTGAAAAACAAGTTGCCTGGAAATAAAATAAATGGTCAAGCAAGGTCAGCTAATTAGTCTGAGCAATCCACAATGGTTGTTGCATATTTATTCTTTTGTAGGTAATGGGAGCATTTTCAAGAAACTAAAAACTATGGTGAAATTATCAGAAATAATTGAAATTTGATTGGCTTATAGTTCTTTCTAGTTTTAACGTTTATTATACAAAACAAGTATCGATAAACAGATCAGGTGATATCTTATGTTGTACGGGTATTCAGTCAAGGGCAATAACTCTTCTTGGCACCATTTTGAAATTTGGCCTCACCCAATCATGTACGAGAGCACTAATATTGATCACTAAACCTAGTAATTATGGTGTCTACCTATAGGAAATCGATACCGCAGATTTAAAAATCCCATCAATTTTATGCTATGGCATCACTACGACATGAAATTCAAAATGGTGTCCAAGATGGCCACCATTCCATATAACTGACCACAACGCCCATACTATTCATGTTAGAGGAACAAGTTTGGTATTTATACCTAGGTTTTAGGGGCAAGACAACCCATTACAACCAATTGCTGGATGGAAAACGCATGATGTCATTGTGAAATTCAAGATGGTGGCCAACAAACTATATAAATTGTCACAATTAGCAGTCTAGAACATTGATTTTGGTGTCTATATATATGTTGTAGGAGTCAATCTATCCATTAAAACCATGAAAAAAGAGCATTACATGCTATTATCAGCTGCAAATGTAATTATTAATTATTAAAGTTGTCTTATTCCTTTCCTGAGATTAATGTTAGCAAACATATGATTTGATTGTGGTCATCTGCGACCTATTAGAACAATGTTATTGTCTTATTTCATTTTAAGAGATAAGAGCGTGCTTTCGAGTGTAGTCATCTTTCATCCAGAGGGGAAATCGCAGCCAGAAAAATCCCAATAAAATGCTATTTTATTATCTCAAATATCTGTTTTATGCTAATAGTAAGTGTCTGTCTGTGTGTTGTATGTCTGTCAATAACTTTGATCAAGTTCAATGCATTTTCAATGTAAGCCTATCCAATGAATGGAAACTGTACAAGTTATCGAAATCATTTAATAACCAATGTTTAGAATGCTAGTTTGCAGGATGGTACCAAGTACATATTGGTGTGCACATAAAACTTGACAGTTTAAATGCACAATTTCACTCAAACCACATTGCATGCATTATGCCTAAGTTAACCTGGTGGATACAGAAAAGACGTTAAACATCATTTCATTTAGAAAGCTGATTTTCATGCTAGGTTCTGGTAATTTTATTCCTTTTGGACAAGTTTGAATAAGTGTGAAGAAACAATGGTTATACTCAATTCTGTAGTTATATGATATTGCATGCCATTCGATTGATTCCAGACGTTCAGTGATAAGTATTATTTATACCATTGAATAGGCAGCACTTTGAAAGATGACTGAAATATGATTTCCGACACGTCTCATAAGATGAGGTAAGTAAAAGACTTGAAAAAGTAGACCAACAAGGATTTTTTTACCATTTTAACAGCCTCCATGTAAACCACATACGAACATAAAGACATTAACAGAATCCGCAAACCAATTAGGAAACACATCAGAAGGAGATAGACCTACTGAAGTTAATCCAAACGGACAATGAGAAAGCTAGCTAGTCCATGTACTAGAGCATGTGTCACGCCTCATCCACTTCAATAGGCAGGGAATTATGACTCAGTTTATAAAAAAATCTGTATTTTTTGCACATAGTTAAAGTCAATAGTGAAACGAAAACGCCTTGAATGTGTGTGGAGGAAGGGTAGGGTAGATGAACGCACAAGTAAGTTTCTGAAGGCAACTGTCTATTTTCAAAACGAAACTAAAAAGTGACCTTCGGGATGTACACTTTGTCAGAGAATTCGGATTATATGCATCTATATGAAGGTCTTCGTTATGAGGGTGGAGGGAAGAGAAGCTTGTTCTTGTACATAACTGACTTATTCATTGTCTTCTAGATTAACTTGGATAGGCCTTTCGTCTTATGTTCCTTCCTTGTGTGTTTTTTTTTTCATCCTCTTT